ACAGTGTGGAGCTGCAGAAGCACAGTGTGGAGCTGGAGGAACACAGTGTGGAGCTGGAGGAACACATTGTGGAGCTGGAGGAGCACAGCAGGGTGAAGAAGGTCTGAAGAAGGGTCCCGACCCGAAACTTCAGCTTTCCTGCTCCTCTATGCTGCCTGGCCTGCTGTGTTCCTCCAGCTCCACACTGTGTTGTCACTAATGGACTGTGGTGTTGAACTGTTAACAGTGTTTCTTTGCTTTTATACCTTTTATTGAAAAGGACTGTAATGTTTAACTTTTTAACTTTGTTTCTTTACTTTTCTGCTTTGTACCTAAGTTTCTGTACCTAGGTACCTTGGTTCTTAACATAGCGCCACAACGGGTGACCTGTAAACTTTCCACTGTACTCATGTGAGTACATGTGACAATAAACCCAATTCTAATTCTAATTTATTTGGTCCATTCTTCAGGATGGAGTTAAGATCCCACCCAAAGTCATTATTCTGACTTTGTACCTTTTTGAATGCTAAATGTGCTGTTGTGCGCTTCCATCATTTTATGGATCGAATAGATTCTCAATGACTTCACTGACAATACTTCAGTGCTTTTAATAAAAGTGCATTCTATTTTTCTAAAGAAATCCAGTAGTAATAGAAATCTCAATGGGTAGCCCTATTTTTACTCTAATAATCAGAACGTTATATTGACCTCTCTCCACTGTGGGTGAAGCAGTGTCATCCATTGTTATTCACCAAGTGTGTTGCAGCTATTCTTACACATGATCCCAATCTGATACAGTCCTGTAATTGCAGCTCGCTGTGTAGGGTACTCTGGGTTGAAAAATGTCAACTGCATTTCTAGCGTATTTATCTGTGTAATTTTACCCCTCAGTTTTGAAGAGAAAGTAAAATTGTTGTTGTCAGTTATTGCTGTTGGAATGTAAACATTGTCAAGTGGCACTGCGTAAGTCAGGTTTGAGTTTTGGAATGGGATGGCAGACAGTCATTCATTTTGATGATTGTCCATCATGGTCGTTTCTGTCAGCCTTGCTATCGGTAGGAGGCATCGGATGATGAAAAATATCAGCACTCAAAAGTGCCATGCAGCAGAGAACTTCCTCGACAGTTTGTCCCAAGAACTTACCCGACTGCTTTGCTGTGAAACGAAAAGGGCTGTATTTTCTGATCCCTTTCAATCCTAAAAGAATGCAATGGAGCCTGTCTGCATCATGACTCCAAGAAATAACAGAAGATTTCTCATTTCCCATTTGTGTCAGACTGTCCTATAAATAGAAACTTCTTCCCTGTGTCTGTGTGCTGTGCTCTAATTGTGTTCTACACTGTTCAGCAGTTTTAAGCTTAGAAAAAAACAATGATAGAAAACCCGTCAGATTTGCAGAAATATAGTTATGTTGTCCTTAGAGTTAAATCAATGACAGATGAAACTGAATGGCAAGGTTGTCCTCCAGATTTTTAGTTGATGATTTTAATTCTGACATTAATTAATTCAGTTTAAATAGATTAATGATGGTGTTAAATTAATAGCAGATTGGAAAATCTGTGACTTCCAAATTAAATGCGCACATTTAAAAAAAATTGCTTCATGAAAAGGATAGGCCCAGAAAGCATTCTTCCATGAATGATGTCAGTAAAATCATAAATGTAGTTGTAAAAATAGTATGGCATTCATTTATATAGCACCTTTTACATCTTCAGCACATCCCAAAGCATTTTACAGCAGTAAATGAAGTAGTGATGTGTTTTAGTGTAGCCTCTGTTTTATGTAAGAAGTATGGAAACCAATTTACCGAACAGTGTGAGTTACTGCACAGAAGAAGTTTTCATGATTGTACTCATAGCTTTGTAGAACTAAATCATTGGGCCTGGCATATCGACAAAGACAAGAGAGGGGAAATGAGGATGGATCATGATGAGGCTTTGGATTTGATGGGCAAAGGAAGAGATATGCTGTTTGTGTTTGCAGAAGTAGTAATGGAGCTTGAGCTATGAGACCAGTCCAGTGTAATTTGGGAGAGAGGAGTGGAATTGAAAGAGGATGGTATATTCCACATTGTTGGGATGGTATGGTGGCACTGTGGTTAGCTCTGCTGCCTCACAACTCCGGGGACCCAGATTCACTTCGAGCCATGAGCGACTGTCTGTGTGGGGTTTGCACATTTTCCCCATATCTGAATGGGTTTTCTTCAGATGCTCTGGTTTCCTCCCACAGTCCAAAGATGTGCAGGTTAGGTGGACTGGCCATGGAAAATGCAGGGTTACAGATAGGGTAGGGGGACTGATGCTCTTCAGAGGGTCAGTGTGGACTCGGCGAGCCAAATGGCCTGCTTCTACACTGTAGGGTTTCTACAATTCTATGTTTGTTAATGCTGTGGAGAGATTAAGGGTGACTGAAGGAATTATTCCCCCTTTTGCTACTTATTGAGTTTTTGCGAACATACAGTTTGCAGGTTTAATTCTCAGATCAGCTACAATATTGGGAACCTAAAGTGAAGTCTAAGATAAGAGGGGGTCCTTCTCAAAGACTTTGAAACAAGAGCATCCCCTGAACCAGTAGGTAGTTAATGTGTAGGTTTGAAATTTAAAAGCCTGATGGTTAGAAGAGAGATATTACAATAAGAAGGCAGTTTTGCAGCTTTGAAGGAGTGATTCTGATGAGAATCTGAATTGTGTTTGTGCTGTTGTGTTGACCATTTTGTTGAAAGTGACTTGTTTCTAAGTTACACCAAAACATTTGAGAACATAAACTAAGCTTGAAGCTGCAATTTATACACTTGATGTTACAGTAATTACTTTCAGGGGTGAGTGGATGAGGGAGCATGGGTTGGGATAGGCTGGTTAATGTAATGTATTGGGAAAATTTCCTAGAGCCCATGGTTCATGACCAGAACTAATTCACTCTGGAAACTGATCTGGTTCTCCTTGGGACTGCGTTGCACTGCAGCATGTGACCAACCTGTTGCAGAATGAATTTTGCCGTTGGGAGTTTTATAAGTCTTTGAATGAAAGTTCAGATAAGTAATTAGGGATGAGACAGTTGATGACGTTGAGAAGTAGCTGGATCATTTTCTGCATGTGCCATCCTCACTCTTCTGCTTAAGAGCTTTGAAAGATACTTCAACAAATGACAGCACCCTTTAAATGCTTTGGCCTAGTTTCCAACCGTAAATATCACTGCCGAAATGTGGGTTATCACCAACTTGTCAGACAAAAATACAAACACGCTGTAAACTTTGCCTTGTTAGTTAGTTCTTCAAAATAACACAGAGAAAAAGGACATCTTTTCTGAGGAGTGGCGAGCTTTCAAATCATGATGATACTGGCATTATTCTCTAGTCTATCTCTGATGGACTGGTGTGCTGAGGGATGGGCAGGGTCAGACAGCCTGTAGTCCTTTGGACTGGTAGCCTTTGGTTTCCATCTCTGTTTAAATACACCCAAGAAGTCTTCATCAATTGTCCTCCTGTGTCCAACAGCCTACTGAATCAAACAGTTTAACTTATTCACCCCAGATCCCATCCCCACAGCAATTCCATCTTGTTGAATGTTCAAAGATAATATACCAGAAAAGAACACCCACTTTCTGTTTCACAGCCATTCACTTATTGCAGCTTAAGGAAAATGATCTTTCATTTTTGGAGACTCCAGGAATGATGAAGAGTCATCTAGACTCGAAACACGAGCTTGCTGTCTCTCCATGGGTACTACCTGATCTGCTGTGATTTCCAGCATTTTTTTTTTGTTTTCAGTCAAAGATAGGGAATGTTATTTTTCATCAGTATAGGACAAAAATGCACACAGCATCACAGAATTGTCACAGCACAGAAGGAGACCATTCAGCCTATTGTGTCTGTCCTGACTCTCCCACAAGCATTATGACCAAATGCCATTCCCCTGCCTTTCCCTACACCCTTGTACACTCTTTCTATTCAATTATCCCTGTTGAATATCTCTGTTGACTCAGCTTCCAACATATTTCCAGGCAGTGCATCCCAGAAACACCCAATTGAAATATTTTATGTTGCTGGTGGAAGGAGAGTTGGAAAACAATCCATAAGAGCCAACTGAGGTTAAGCAGGAAAAAATAATGAAATATATTTTAGAAAATGCTTGCATTTATCCAGCACCTTGCGCACGTTTAAAGTATTGTGGACTGTGGTTTTGAAGCCAGCCAGATACTTCTGAAGTGCTTTCACACAAGCAAACGCAACATGACAGTGTGTCTTATCTGAACGGTTGAAGCAGAAGTCCGGCTCCCCATTGTGTGAAAGCACAGAACACAATATTCGTCTGTTCAGTTTATTTCTTTTCACTTGTGTCGTAGCATACAAGATCAAAAAGCAATAAAGATCAAAAAGCAATAAAGATCCCATATCTGTGACTAAATGTCTACTTACTTCTTCATATTATCTAACCGAACCCAAACCATCTATTTCAAATTGCCACAGTTCTGTCAGACATAGAGACAAACATTGAACTGCCTGCACCTAAGCAGCTACATTGAGTTTGACACACTGGCCTCTCCTGCTATATTAATTACCTGAAGCGTGGACCTGAGGGAGGTCCCCACCTGCCACCACTCCTTCCAGCATTTACACAGAATCACATCACACACGTGAGCGGACGCGCTGTCTTCTGAGTGCCGTACAAAGCTCCTTTCTCCTTCCTGCCGGTGCTGCTGCGTACTCAGTGCGACAGGGACAATCCTCAGTCAGTTGTCTCTGAAAGCCTTGGCTGCCCAGTGTCGGTTGCCAGGCAGTTATCAGTTGCTGTGACGACTGCAGTGGTTTGTAGCTCATTGAGGAGCAGAGGATTCTTAACCTTCCCATCTCCACCATCCTCTCTTCAGAGAAGACTGTCGTAGTCTTTGCTTCTCAGTTTCTCTCCCACTCTCTCTCTCTTTGTTTTTCTGCCAGTGGTTTTGCTGTGAATGTTTTCTTTAAATACCCAAGGCTGCTGAGAGCACAGAGCTTCCTGTTTGCTTAAACACGCTCGCCCTGCTACCCCTGCGGTGGGTGGAAATAGGTGAACATGACTACAGCAAAGGAAGGGACTGCTTCAGGGAAAGGGGTCCAACAACAAGATCAGGTATTTCTCTATTCAGTTTAGACTTTTTCTTTTCTCCTTTATTACACTATTAATCTATCCGGTGGCATCAGTTTATTTTTTTAAAATATATATTGTGCATATGATGTGTGGTAACACAGCACTAGCTGAGGCATGTTTTAAGCATCAGCTCAAAATAAGCAAGTAAATAAGGAAGCTGCTGGACTATGGAGGGGTTGCAGAGCGGGGTAGGTGCTGCAGATCAGGGGACAAGGAGGTGATTTAATTGGAAATGATTTCTGTGTCAAGCCTAACATCGCTGGTTAGATGCCTGAGTGGTGAAAAAAGGTGACAGATTGTTAGTGGCTGACCAGCAGCCGTGTCTAAACGGTGATCAGAACTACTAGAGGTTACCTTAAACAGTGGAGAAAAGGAGATGTTAATTTCTGACAGAAATCTGAGCAGTCTTCTGGATGTCATCTATGACTTTTTACACAGTGTGGTTACAGCTTGCATCAATTTTTCATGTCAATTGTGCATCACCGGTCAAGTGAAATGAGCACTTATTCCGGTACCGTATTGCACAGACTGTGCACGGCCACATACTCTGTCACTGACTCTCTCCTTGTTCCGGATCTGGAACCTCATCCTTTCTCTCCCATATCATCCTTTTTCTTCCCTACTTTCTTCCTGAGGAGAATATTTTATTTCTTTTTTTAAAAAAAGAAATGCACGAGTTGCCAATGATCTGGAGCGCACTGCCGACTTCCACAGCCTGGAATCCAATTGAATAGTAACTTTCACAAATAGGTACTTGGAGGGGAAGCGTTGGCAGGCCTTTGAGAGCTGTGGTAGTGGGACTGAGTGCTAGGCAATCGATGGACTGCCACAGGCATTGTGGGCTGAGTGGCCTCCTGTGTTGAATCATTCTGCGAATGTCTTCTTTTCACTTTGGTTCCTTGTTTTGTTGGTCTGTTCCTTCCTCTTCCTTCCTTTCTGAACTCAAAACAAACGAGAGAAATGGTACGGCTCGGTCCAAAACTGATCGGGGGAGCTGGGTTGCAGGGTTGGAAGGGATTGGGGATGAGCAGAGTTACAGGGAGTGGACTGAGGTTGAGATGAGACGGAAGATTATCCTTAAAATCAGCCTCAAACCGATGTGTCTAATAACAGAGAGATGTCTTCAGCAAGGAAATAGGTGCGGCGTTGCTGAATGTAGCAAGTAATCTGTACCGGTCATTCAAGAACATAACTGCTCTACACCAACTGGCAACACTCAAGCTTAACACAGTGGACATATCTCTTTGTGAAGATATCGAGCCCGGGAAAGCAAAATCAAACTTGTTTTTTCAGGTTAAAGGAGCAGTCAAATATGGTACAAGTGGGTTATCTGACACTCATAAAGTGGGCACCTTGCCACATGTTTTCATGTGCAATTTTTTCATGCGCTTGAAACACTGTCTTAGCACTATAGTTGTGGCAATGCAGACAGAAGTTTAACCTGCGTGTTCAGTAGCTGGACTTCACTCACCTCCGAATCAGGCGTCGTGGTGCGTGGGTTAAAGCTGCATTTTTAAAGTTTGCACCATAAATTCTAGACTGACACTTTGGTGCACTGCTGAGAGCATGCTGCACTGTTGGAGCTGCTGTAGTATGGATCAAATTTTAAAGCCTAGGCCCTAACCCCTCCCCCTCATCCCACACCCACTTCCAGGTTCAATTTGAAGCCTTTAGGGGAGTGCTCTCCCATGTTCTCGACCAATATTTATATCTGGACGGACATCACTGAGAACAGATTCTCCAGTGATTGTCTCATTGCTGTTTACAGAAGCTTGCTATGACCCAATTGACTGCCAAATTTCCCAGATTATAACAGTGATGGTGTTTTACATGAAACCATAAGCAATAGGAGCAGAGGTACACCTCTTGTTCCACTATTCAAAAGGTTATGGCTGATTCAACATTCCTCACTTACATTTTCCTACATTTTTCCGTGTAACTCTCGATACCCTGACTGATCAAGAATCTATCTGCCTTAGCCTTAAATATACACAAGGCCTCTGCTGCCACTCTGTGTCAAGGAGTTCCAAAGACTCACAACTCTCTGAGAGAAGAAATTCTTCCTTATCTCAATCTTAAATTGGGGCCCCTTTATTCTGAGACTGCACCCTCTGATCCTAGACTCTCCCATGAGGGAAACCATCCTGTCAGCATTTACCGTGTCAAGCCTTTGACGAATCCTATATGTTTCAATGAGATCACCTCTTATTCTTCTAAACTCCAAAGAATAGGCTCCCAACATGTTTAACCTTTACTCATAAGACAATCCCCCCATACCAGGGAACATCCTCGTAAACCATCTCTGAAATGCTTCCAATGAAATGATATCTTTGTTTAAATAAGGGGATCACAACTGCTCATAATACTCCAGATGTGGTCTCACCAGCACTTTGTACAGTTGCAGTAAGATTTTCCTAAAGTTATACTCCAACTCCTGAAAATAAGGGCCAACATTCCATTAGCTTTTCTGATTACCTGCTGTACCTGTGTGCAAGCTTTCTGTGTTTCATGAACAAGTTTGCCCAGGTCCCTTTGTGTTGCAGCTTTCTAAAGGTTTTCTCCATTTACATAATACCCTGTTCTTTTGTTTTCCCTTCCAAAATGAGTAACTTCACCTTTAACCACATTCAACTCCATTTGCCAACTTTTTTGTCCACTGACTTAACCTATCGATATCTCTCTATAAACTGCTTGTATCCCTGTGGCAACTTGTCTTCATGAGCAAGTACTCCATTGGCTCTTAAGCGCCGTGAGATGTCCTGAGGCTGTGAAAGATGCTCTATATAAGTACAGGTTCTCCTAATTTATAACCACTCAAAATGAAAACACGAGGCGAGTCAGCTATGTTCCATCTCTGAGTGTTGAGCAGATATAGATGGATAACTTTCCCATGGCCAAGCTTCATGTTTGAAATGCCAATGCAGGTTAGTTATCACTGCTCCTGCTCTGCTGTTGTTCTTTCCAAAATCAACCCAAAGCAATTGTTGGGCTTCATTGTTCAGTCTGTTGAGTATAGGAGTTGGGATGTCATATTGAGGTTGTACAGTACATTGGTGAGACCTATTCTGGAATACTGTATCCAGTTCTGGTTGCCCTGTTATGGGAAGAGCATTATTGAGCTAGAGAGCTTTCAGAAAAGATCTACCAGGATGTTGCCGGGAATGGAGGGTTTGAGTTATAAAGAAAGGTGGATAGGCTGGGACTTTTTTCAATGGAGTGTAGGAGTTTGAGAAGTGACCTGATAGAAGCTTATATAATCATGAGGGATATAGATAGGGTTAATGGTAGGTGTCTTTTCCCTAGGATAGGGGATTTCAAGACAAGCAGAGAGATTTACAAAAGACATGAGAGGTAAATTTTTTACAGGGAGGATGGTTCATGTATGGAATAAACTTCCTGAGGAAGCGGTGGATGCACGTACAGTTACAACATTTAAAAGACAGTTGGATAAGTACATGAATAGGAAAGTTTTGGAGGCATATGGGCCAGGAGCAGGCAGGAGGAACTAGTTTAGTTTGGGATTATGACCAAAGGGTCTGTTGACTGTCTGTTTTCAATCAGTACCACAGAATTGGGAAGAAGAAAGTGTCCAGGAAAAAGGTAGGGATAGAAAGGAAGTGGCATGGACTTGGATCATGGAAAAATCTTAGAGCTGGTCACTTTTGAGTTGCTAACATCAAATCACATGAACGAGAAAAGGGCAGGGATAAAATTCCCCTTCCAAATGAAATCTTCCCAAGTTTTGTCCTGTTTTTGACATTACATTTATTTCAAAGCATGGAAATGTCTTTGGTAGTTCACAAATGGTGAGAAATGGTAGCAAATGGTCACAAATGGTAGCAGAATAAAGATTAAAATAAATCTCTTTCTCTGCTTAGTGCTGAAGATGCAATCCACTCCAACTTGTTTGTTCTATTGAATAAGCTATGAGCTTGTTCTAGTAAGTGCTGGATATTCTTTCATGAGTTTCCGCAGAGTTAGGAATTATCATTTTGTTTTGCTTTGTCATGTTCCTTTCCTTTTTCAAAGGCTCCCCCAAGAGGATTATCGAAACACCAACGGAGGCCATTCACCCTGTCTTGCCAGCTCTTTGGGAGAGAGTTGTCCATTTGTTTCCACAGCACTTCCCCCACTTTTCCCTAATGGCCCCACAAGCCTTTTCAAGAGTATATTTAATTCCTTTTTTGAAAGTTATCACTGAATTTCTTGAAAAAGAGGGCATGGCCTCAAAAATAAGAGGGAGCAGATTTAGGACTGAGTTGAGGAGGAACTTCTTCAGCCAAAGGGTTGTGAATCTGTGGAATTCCTTGCCCAGTGAAGCAGTTGAGGCTACCTCGTTAAATATTTTTAAGGCAAAGATAGATAGATTTTTGAACAGTAAGTGAATTAAGGGTTATGGGGAGCAGACGAGGAAGTGGAGAAGCCATGATCTTATTGAACAGCGGAGCAGACGCAAGGGGCCAGATGATCTACTCCTGCTCCTATTTCTGATGTTCTTATGTTCCTTCCACCATTCTTTGAGGCAATGTGCTCCAAATTACAGCAAGTGGCCATGGTCAAAAAAAGTGACAGCATGGACAGCAATGTGCCGCAGAGCATTCCAGTTGAAGCTGTGGTATGCAAGCTGAATGTTTGTAGCTGTGAACATGTGGCTCTAGGTGACACACTCCTCCATTTCCAGTCCCTTTGGGCAAGCAGGAACTTATCTAAAACCAGGAACCTCACCTAGAAGGACAAGAGCAGCAGACACGTACAAACACCATCACCTGCAAATTCCCTTCTATGTCGCGCACTTTCCTGATTTGGAAATATATCGCTGTTTCTTCAGTGTCACTGGGTCAATATCCTGGAATTCTCTTTCTAACACAACTATGGATCAAAAAACAACCCAAAGACTGCAATGGTTTAACTACCACCTACACCAAGGCAGTTAAGGATGGGCAGTAAATGCAGACCCAGCCAGTGGTTCCCACGTCCCATGT